CCCCCATCCCCCCGCCTCCCTCACCGAGGACATGGGAGGACAGATAATTCAAATGGTGATCTAATACATTTTAATGCTGCGTCTCTCACATCAATCGGTGGAAATGTAAATCTGTCGAACCCGTCGAAGTGTTTTGGTGATAATTACAGAGTCACGTTCAGTAACAAGCCGAAATAACGTGCCGAGTGCGCTGAACCATCGCGACCAATTAGAATACACTTCATCGGTGATGTAGTTGGTGCAATCAGGAATGACTGCTGACAGATGACTGCACTTCTGATGTATTCCTCTGGGACCGTTCCGGGCCATTTGCTTGGATATCGGCGACAACGGTTTTGTTGTAGATTATGGAGTAGATTTAATTAGTCACAGGACTGGTATTGGTGTTGGGTCAATGGCCCATCCAAGGGTATGAGTAAAGGGCTAGGGTTTGGGTTGAAGGTTTGGGGTAGAGTTTAGGCTGAGGGTTCAGGTTAAAATTTTGATTGAAGATGAGTGTTACAGTTTAAGTTAAGGGTTAAGGTTATAGTTTAGATATGATAGTTAAGGTTATAGTTTAGATATGATGGTTAAGGTTAAAGTTTAGGTTGAGGGTTAAGAGTCTGGGTTGAGTTGAGAGTTTAGGTTGAGGATTAGTGTTAGAGCTGAGAGTTAAAGTTAAGGTTGAAGGAATGGTTAGAGTTTAGGTGGAGGGTTAGGTTTAGAGGGTAGCTTGAGGGTTGAGGTTAGAGTTTATGTTGAGAATTAGAGTTTAGGTTGAAGGTTACAGTTAAGTTGAGAGTTAGAGTTTAAGTTAAGGGTTAAGGTTATAGTTTAGAGATGAGGGTTAAGGTTAAAGTTTAGGTTAAGGGTTAGCGTTTACATTGAGTAGCAGTGTTAGAGTTGAGGGTTAAGGTTTACAGCTTACAGTTGAGGGTTAAGGTTAACGTTTAGGTTAAGGGTTAAGGTTAACGTTTAGGTTAAGGGTTAAGGTTAGAGCTTAGGTTAAGGGTAAAGGTTAGAGTTTACATTGAGGCTTAGTGTTAGAGTTGAGGGTTAAGTTTATAGTTTAGAGTCAAGGGTTAAGGTTAGAGTTTAGTTTGAGAGTTTGGTTTAGAGTTTAAGTTGTAGTGTTTAAGCTGAGGGTTAAGGTTAAAGTTTGGGTTAAGGGTCAAGGTTAGAGTTTAAGCTGAAGATAAGGTTTAGGATTTAGGTTGAGGATTAGTGTTAGAGCTGAGGGTTAAGGTTAGAGTTTATGTTGAGAGTTAGAGTTTAGGTTGGGATTAAGGTTAGAGTTTATGTTGAGAGTCAGAGTTTAAGTTGAAGGTTAAGGTGAGAGTTCACCTTGAGGGTTAAGGTTAGAGTTTAAGTTGAGAGTTAGAGTTTAAGTTAAGTGTTAAGGTTATAGTTTAGAGATTAGGGTTAAGGTTAAAGTTTAGGTTGAGGGATAATGTTAGAGTTTACGTTGAGGGTTAGGGTTGAAGTTTAGGTTAAGGGTTAGAGTTTACATTGAGTATTAGTGTTAAAGTTAAGGTTTACAGCTTACAGTTGACGGTTAAGGTTAATCTCTAGGTTAAGGGTAAAGGTTAGAGTTTAGGATGAGAGTTAGGTTTAGAATTTAGGTTGATGATTAGTGTTTAAGCTGAGGGTTAAGGTTAAAGTTTAGGTTAAGGGTTAAAGTTTAGGTTAAGGGTCAAGGTTAGAAGTTAAGTTGAGGATTAGGTTTAGGAATTAGATTGAGGATTAGTGTTAGAGCTGAGGGTTACGGTTAAAGTTTAGGTTGAAGGTAAGGATAGAGTTTAGGTTTTGGATTAAGTTTAGGTTGAGGATTAGCATTAGAGTTAAACTTGAGGGTTAAGGTTAAACTTTTGGTTGGGGTTCAGATTAGCATTCAGGTTGAGGATTGAGGTTAGAGATTGGGTTGAGGATTGAAATTAGAGTTTAGGTTGAGGGTAAAGCTGACCATATACTGTTACGGTACACTGTACGCTTAGGTGCGTTGATCGAGGAATCCGCGCTGTTTCCTTTGTATTATGACGGTGGCCGCCGGCCGCTGTAAGAATCAACACAGTCGGCAGCTCATTGGCTTCCGGATCTGTTCGTTTGAAGATTTCCCAACCGGCTCCTTCGATCAGCTGATCGTAGGATGCCATCCGAGAGGGTGCCGACAGAGGCACCCACTGTGTGAATTTCATCCAGTTCCTCAAGAACCGGCCAAACTTCGATTAATGTATGGCCAGTTTAAGATAAGAATTTAGGTTGAGGATTAGGGTCAGAGTTTAGGTTAAGGAATGAAGTTAGAGTCTAGGTTGAGGGTTTAGGTTAAAATTAAGGGTGTGCATATGTGTCAGTGTTTAAGTAGAGGGTTGGGATTAGAGTTTAGGTTGGGGATTGTAGTCAAAGTTTAGATTGAAGACGGTTAGCATTTAGACCGAGGGGTTGTATCTATGTTTAGGCCAAGGGTTGGGGTTAGAGTTTAGGTTGGGGATTGTAGTCAAAGTTTAGATTGAAGACGGTTAGCATTTAGACCGAGGGGTTGTATCTATGTTTAGGCCAAGGGTTGGGGTTAGAGTTTAGGTTGAGGATTGAAGTTAGAGTTTAGAAAAGGGTTGGGATTAGAGGTTAGGTTTGCAGCAGGCATGCCAAATTGCTATTTTTTGAGCCACATGCAGCTTTCTCACATGTGGCCCTCAGCTGGTTTACAGATTTAAATTGAATGAAGCCCAAGTTTCAAATTTGGCTTCAGCCGACCTTTCTCCATGCTTCAGCTGTCACTTCGGCTGGGGTTCGTTGGCTCCTCGGCTGCTGTACGGGCTATAGTAAATAGCCCGTACAGCAGCCCTTCGGTTCGTCTAAACCGGCGGCCGAAGCGAGCCGAAGGATCAGCTGAAGCTACGGCTGAATCCTTCAGCTCCATAGTGAATAGCCCTCCAAATGTCTAGTAGCCACCTCATAGAAGGTGATGGGGCTACACAGTCAAGGAGACCAAGCCTAATTACCTTGTGTTCCTTGATGTTTACTGTACTTGTGTGTATATATAAAATCAAAAAGTAATTTGTCTGTGTGATACTTTTTCTGATAAAGAAAACTAAGTGTTCTCAAAAGCTTGCACTAGAACCTACCATTGGCCAACAATGGTACGTCACTCTTCTACCGCTATCCATGGCTCACAAAATACAACCTGCAACTTGCTGGCGGCTCATGAATAGCGTTACCCAGAAGTAACAGCCTCATCTATCTGGCGACTCCTCAAGATAATAGAATTGTTTGGCTGGGTATCAGAGGAGGGTTACCCGTCTCCCTAATGTAGCTGTTAGCAGTCCAAAATACTTTAGGTGTCTCAGATTATCTTTAGCATCCAGCAAAGTCCATTCTTAATCTCTCCTCCTCCACCACTGACAGACAAAGAAACAGACCAGAGCATTCTGGAGGCCTGCGATAGTGTCCTTCTATCTCCCACCCCGCTAATGTGAACTCGTATATAAAGATATCCATACCTGACACTCTTTCCATCACTGGAAGAATATAGAAAGCTGTCAGGCTCTCCTCCGCAATAAAAAACGAGGAAATTAATGACCGCGATACCCAGCAGATGAAGCCTCGCTCCTTAATTGCCGCTTCCCACAGCTCTGCCAAAAAAATTTGAACGCCGACTGCTTGCGTCCTCTTATCTTCAGTGTTTAAACGTCCGATGTGATTTGCTTCCCCTGTGATGGGTTTAATGTGTCGGATTCTCCGAAAACAGAGTTACCGAAGTGCAGAACAATTTCTGAGGGACGTCTTATGTTGCCGAATATTCCCTGTGGCCACTTTATTCGCTTCGTCTAGTCACCTGAGCGAAACTTTCATGGTTTGGAGTATTTCTTTTTGAAAGTTTTTAGAGATTTTTCTATATTTTATATCTATTGTATTATAATACAGTTTACAGTCTTTTTCTTTCTTTCTTTCTTTCTTTCTTTCTTTCTTTCTTTCTTTCTTTCTTTCTTTCTTTTCCTTTCTTTCTTTTTCTTTCTTTTTCACAGTTTCTTTCTTTCCCTCTTTCCTTTCCCTTTTCCTCCCTTCCTTCCCTCTTTCCTCCCTTCCTTCCTTTCCCTTTTTCCTCCCTTCCCTCTTTCCTTTTTTCCTCCCTTCCTTCCCTCATTCCTTTACGTCCTTCCTTCCTCCTCCCTCCCTTTTTTCTTCCTTTCTTACATCTCCCCTCTATCTTTCTTCCCACTGTCCCCACTCCCTTCCTTCCCTCTCCCCTCCTTCCCTCTCCCCTTTCCTTTCTTTCTTGCTTCCTCATTCCTCCCTTCCCTATTTGTGCCCTCCATTTCTACCATGCTTCCTCTCTTCCACCTTTTCTCTCCCTAACTTTCTTTCTTCCTTCCCACCTTCCTTTCTTCTTTCCTTTTCTCTTTCTTTCTTTGTTTCTTTCTTTCTTTCTTTCTTTCTTTCTTTCTTTCTAGCTAAGGGGCTCTGTAAACATGATCAGGAGTCTTAACATGTGCAAAAGAAGCCAAGAGCCCCACCTGCACAGGTAGACCGAACCAGAAGAGCCCACACCTGCCTCACATTACTTTTTCTTTCTGGTTCTCATGCATGTGATGGAAACGTCTGCAGGTGTGCGGAGGGGGAGGAGTTACAGCTCCGACTCACTCCATTGTGTGTGGAAGTTTTTAGCTTTACGCTACTTAGCTCAGATTAGAACTGAAGAGAAGTTGCGAAACGTTGTCAAGATTACAGAACAAGTCCACTTGAATGTCAATAACTTCTACTAGCTGCTCAGGGAATGACGTCAGAGACAGCAAGACAACGATAATTTTCTGTAAGAGATCAGCGATGGCGTCCTCCATAGTTCTCTCAGTAGTAGTTTCCAGGAAAGGGGAACTTTGTGTGTTTGGTGGATGTTCTGGATGACACTTTGGTTTTATTCTCTTTATTTGCAGAACCTACGTCAGGGATGCTGGGATAAAGCCGGCCATTTTTTTGACCTTCCAGACTTTCTGACCTGGAAAGCTACGGGCTCCCTCACGAGGTAAGAGGTGGTTGTATGTTCTGAGCTGTGTTTCCATTATGTGTATGGCCTACTCTGGGAGTCCTGTCTCATGGTTATACCCGGTATGTGTAACACAAAATCCGGTTTCAAACTTAAAATCTTGGCATAAATGTGAACCAAGAACCATTATATTTTCCCTTTAAACAAAGGCAAAAGACTGCTTTCCACCCAAGTGGCTGCTGGGAGTTCCCCATGTCTCAGCACAGTGTGTATTGTGTTTCAGTTACAGAGCAAACATCTAAAAGCAGGGTGTTACGGCTCTGTTTTCTGTTGAGAAAACCCGCAGTGCTATGGGAATGCTGTCTCACCTTTATACCCGATATGTAATACAAAATCCGGTATTAAACTTAAAAACTTGGCATAAATTTGACCCAAGAACCATTACATTTTTTTCTTCAAGGACAGACAAGAGACCACCTCCTGCCCAAGTGGCCGCTGGAAGTTCTCCATGCCATTCGGGGCTTATTTATCATAACTGGAGCAAACAGAATCTGGGAGTTCCCCATGTCACAGCACAGTGTGTATTGGGTTTCAGTTACAGAGCAAACACCTAAAAGCAGGGTGTCACAGCTCTGTTTTCTGTTGAGAAAGCCCGCAGTGCTCTGGGAATCCTGTCTCATGGTTATACCCGATATGTAACACAAAATCTGGTATCAAACTTAAAATCTTGGCATACATTTGACCCAAGAACCATTATATTTTCCCTTCAAAGAAAGGAAAAAGACTGCTTTCCACCCAAGTGGCTGTGGGAGTTCCCTGTGTCACAGTACAGTGTGTATTGTGTTTCAGTTACAGAGCAAACACCTAAAAGCAGTGTGTCACAGCTCTGTTTTCTGTTGAGAAAACCCGCAGTGCTCTGGGAATCCTGTCTCATGGTTATACCTGATATGTAACACAAACTCCTGTATAAAACTTAAAAACTGAAGACCTAGAACCATTATACAGGCAAGAGACCACCTCCTGCCCAAGTGGCTGCTGGAAGTTCTCCATGCCATTGGGGGAAATCTGGAGCAGTTGTCCATGGCAACCCCCAAAAAAATTCTAAACACAGCCAGCATGGCCCCAATGCATATTGTGTGAATGGGCCCCTAATCGCAGATGTTACGGCCTTTGCACTGGGCTCGGGAACGCGATATGGGAAACGTAGAGAGATTTTAACACAACCGACTGCATTCGGCGTGTCCGATACTGAACACGCTTTGTTCCGAGGTGGACTTCATCCTTCATTCCACTGACCTTCATGAAACTCTTACCACGTGTGTTCCAGAAAATCCTGAGATTACTAGCGTGGAAGTTGGCGGCGGGAGGATGGGGGGCGATGGCAGCGGTTATAACAGATGTTTAGCCGTAATATTAAAACCGCTTACCTCTCCCGTCTCCCTTCCACCTTTCTCTCCTTAATTAAATTATGAGGATTTCTTGGCAACGCCGTCAGATATAAAACCTGCGCCGCCGTCACTTCATTTTTTTTCGAAGTAGATTTCTAGCGAAGGGATCCGTTCTCCATTAATCTCCCCGCGCGCCCGCTGTAATTTTTCCGCGTCGTTTACGGCGGGATGATAAAACTTTGGAGATTTGATTTATACTTGGCAAGCTTCAGCGTTCGCGGCCAAGAGCAACACTGTTCCCCGCCGGGGGGAAAATCATCTAAAGTTATGAAAGAAAATGAAACTTTTGTGAAAGAAAAAGAAAATAAAACAATGTAAAAGTAACACTTTGCTCATTAGAAGAACTTAAAGCTGAAGGTGAAGGTTCTTATTATTTGTCTTCCCTGGTTTCTCCCGAAGCTCTGTTCTGATGGGGCTGTATTGGGTTTCAGCAAGGGATGTGCAGTCAGGGGAGGCGGAGCCTCACCTTGTATTATGGAGGAAAAAGCTGTCAGCTTTAAGTCTGAAGCTGACAGCTTTTTCTCCATTCAGAGCGGCTTCTATCAGGTTACAGAGCAGGAAAATCCTCCCCACCCCCGCTGTGTAACCTGTCATGGACGGAGCGCTGACTGTTAATTACAGGCGGCGCTGCATCCGGATTTTGACAGGTAGTTAGGTTACACAGCAGAGGGCTTCCCCACTGCTTGTGTAACCTAACTTGGTGAGGGAAGAGCTGTCACGGCCTCTACTCGGTGTTAGAGGCTTGAGCTCTGTGGATGGTTTGGACCAACGGCAAAGCGACATTGTTCCAAGCTGTCCAATCAAAAAACAAACACTGAGGATATCGATTCTTCACCAGTGACAAGAAAGTGAGGGACAAGGAGGCTCCTCCCTGTCTCCTCCCTTCCTGCTCCCTTTTCCACACATAGCTTGGTGACCGGGTTGGGGGGCGGGGCTTTGGCAGGATGGGGTGGGGGGATTCAGAAATTGCGGTGGGCTGGGCTGGGGAATGCCTAATCCAGCACAGAAGGTATTGCACATCACTGGTTTCAGTTACAGAGGAAACACCTAAAGCAGGGTGCTGCAGCTATGCTCTCTGTTAAGAAAACCCGCAGTGCTCTGGGAATCCTGTCTGATAGTTATACCCTATTTGTAAAACAAAATTTGGCATAAAAAAAATAAACTTGGCATAAATTACACCCCCAACCATTATATTTTTTTCTTCAAAGAAAGACAAAAGACTGTCTTCTGCCCAAGTGGCTGCTGGGAGTTTCTGTTGTCACAACCTGGTGTGTATTGGGTTTCAGTTACAGAGCAAACACCTATAAGCATGTTGTCACCGTTATGCTCTGTCTAAAGTAAACCCGCGGTGCTCTGGGAATCCTATCTCATGGTTATACCCAATGTGTAAAACAAAATCTGATATCAAATAATAAATATGACCCAGAACCATTATATGTTTGCTTCAAAGAAAGACAAAAGGCCGCCTTCTGCCCATGTTACAACCATGTCACAACAATGTGTATTGGGTTTCAGTTGCAGCTGTGACGTCATGGTATCACCCGAGTGCGGGCCACCCCCCCTTGGGACGCCACTGAGTTACAGAGCAAATACCTAAAAGCAGGGTGCTACTGCTATGCTCTCTGTTAAAGGAGAACTATGAGGGGGGGTGAGGGGGGTGCTTTTCACTCACCTCAAAGTTCTAGCCGACCCGTGACAATGAGACTGTCGCAGGTCGACAGTATACCGCAAGCTATAGCTCACGGTATACTGAGCCTAGGGTGACGGGAGGACGCTAGTTTGTGTCCTCCCGTTACCCTAAGGAGAACTATGGGGAAAAGCCTTAACCCCATAGTTCTCCTTTAAGTAAACCCACAGTGCTCTGGGAATCCTGCCTCGTGTTTATACCTTACTTTTAAGATCAAAATCTAGAATAAAACGTACAAATTTAGCACAAATTAGACTCAGAACTTATATCCACACTTCAAAGAAAGACAAAAGGCTGCCTTCCGCCCCAAGTGGGTGCCGGGACTTCTTGTCAGGGCCCGATTTACTCTCTCTGCTGCCCCAAGGCCAGATTCCTCAATGCACCCCCCTACCTGCCAACGCCTTCCCCCCTCCGCCCCATGGAGAATGGCGCACCTCGGCGAGATCACTTGTACATTTAGCTCTGCTTGCCCAAATGTAGTAAACAACTACCCGCCTGGAACTGCATGTCCCGGGCATCAGGAGATAGGAACTCCACACCCCTGCTGCCACTCTACTCCCTGCCGCCCCTCTACTCCCCGCTGCCCCTCTACTCCCCGCTGCCCCTCTACTCCCTGCTGCCCCGAGGTCGGGCTTTGGCTGGCCTTGTGGGAAATCCGGCCCTGATTCTTGTGTTGCGGTGGCGCTCTCATCACTCTCTGTGAAATAACATTGATATTTTGGATGGATACTCTTCTTAGAAGCTCGGGATCGGCAGCGAGTCTCAGGAGCCCTTTTTGATTTTTTTTAACGTCAGAAGTTTCGGTGAAGTTTCTATAATTCATAAGAACAATGTAACAGCTCGGCTGTAACTTAATATCCACCGGAGCGATCAGACTACAGCCCGGCCCTACTGAAGTGTCAAAGCTTCATCATCGCCGTGTCTGAGCCGTCCGGAACCGCCCATAATAAATGAGAACGTCACCTTTGTGTGAGATCGCGCCGATACCCGATACTCATCACCAGCGGTAATTACCATGAATATCACCAATGTCATTGTTTCTTTTTATTTGTTACTTCTATCCTTTTCCTGCAGTCTGACATTCGCAAGCCACACTCTTACGTTCAGCCGCCTAACCCTTACATTCACCCGCCTCACCCTTCCCTTCACCCACCTCACCCTTACATTCACCCGCCTCACCCTTACATCCACCCGCCTAACCCTTACATTCACCCGCCTCACCCTTACATTCACCCGCCTCACCCTTACATTCACCCACCTAACCCTTACATTCACACACACACTGCCCTTTCAGCATTGCGGTCGGAAGCCCGCCCCTCAGGGGCGCATGATCGCAAGTACAATCTGCATGTCCAAGATGGGCAGATCGTACAAGCTTTCAATAAGCTTACGACCATCGCAAGACAAAAGTCTTGCGATAGTCGTAAGGTGTATGGGCACCTTTATAGTCTCCCTTCCCCCGTGATCAGTCTGCTGCAAGCAGCAGGAAGCATTTCCTCAGTCTCCCTTCCCCCGTGATCAGTCTGCTGCAAGCAGCAGGAAGCATTCCCTCAGTCTCCCCTCCCCCAGTTATCAGACTTCTGCAGGCAAAATGAAGCATTTCCTCAGTCTCAGTTGTTGCCTGCAGTGGAGGGGAGAATGAGGAAATGCTTCATCCTGATTGCAGCAGACTGATTACCGGGGGAGAAGGGAGACTGGGGAAATGCTTCCTCCTGTCTGCAGCAGACTGATGACATCATCTCAACCTAGGCAAAGTCACTGACTGGAGCTCTGGGACGGCTTTTAAAACGATAGGATTTATATTGTGTCAACGGTTCATGCCGCGGAAAAACAAACAATGCAGCTTCTTTTGAAGACGAATGCTGTTGCTGTATAATGTGACTTGCCAGAATTGTTGTCAGACA